TACTTTTTGCAAGAAACCATATCTTTGAGGCAGAGAAACCAAGCATCTAGAAGATTTTAGGAGAAGCATGGGTATGGAGAAGTCTCTCTCTCAAATGACCTACCTAAGGTAGCTAGACCCACACAAAGTAACGCATTGCAGCGAAACTTCATCTCCAACCAATAGACCCCAAAGCGTCGTAGTGCATGCTAAGTTGTTCGACATGTGTAGGCCTCACTTCTTGGACATAGTGGAAAGACAGAAGATATCACCTAGACTACTTAGCTCACACAGGATGCTAGGAAGGTGACTCGTCACATCTCTTTCATAGAGTGAGATTGAGGCATGTACTAAGTTCCATCATCTTGAGATTGGTCAATGAGACAAAACAAGTGTCCCATGATAGCAAACACATGGCGATCCCAAAACTAAAGTATTAGGCAAGCATGTATGGTGTCATTTCTATGATGCACAAAAGAGGAATGATAGTAGTAGATATTTCCATAATGGTTTCTTATTCATTCTCATAGTGTGCACATTCAATTGAGTATAAATGAATATTCAGTGAATTATGTAACTGCATTAGTAGAAAAAACTAAGCATGACGATGCTCCAACAAATAGTTAAGGTGCAGAGGTAAGTAGTAGTGCCATATAGAATCCAACATATCATCAGAACTGTAGCTCGTAACAAGATATCACATTGGAAAAGAAGGCATCCATTACATTCTTAGTCATTTCATGTTAAGCAAATTTATACTATCTCCAATAGTCCCCACTGGTCCAGTAATCAACATTTAAAGTATTAGATCCTGACTCAGACTGCAGAATTAGATCAAAGTTTCAATCACACTATATTATTGATACATGATAGCTGTACTAAGTTAAACCAATTGCAATATTAACCGGGCAATCACAACTTCCACACTATTAATACGATGAGATAATACACCAACTAGATCATAAACAATGTAAGATATCAGAATTGCAAAATTGTAACCCAAAACATACCTGCCTAACAACTTGTCGAAAATGAAAACCCGGCTTCCCTTCCTCTACTTTCCCCAACAATTCTTCATTTTCATAATCCAGAGCAATTAAATCCTTCCGAACCTCAACATCCCCAACCAAACCACCACCCACCTCAACCCCACCTTTTCTTTTCCCACCATCCATCCCCAAATCCATCCAAAACACAAACCCAACAAAGAAAAGATAAAACCCAACAAACCCAATAGCCTGCCATAGAAAAATCTCAGCACTAAGATAAACATAGAACAAGAACAAAGCTGCAGTCAAGTAAAACAACACGTCCCTCACAAAAGGCACAGGGTCCACAGAAAAGGGTGCTGCATAAATCGCCACAAACCCAACAACCAATGCCGAAACAAACGTCCCGGCCGACAAAATCGCGCCGAACCCAGTCCTCGGATGGCCTCCGCGGACCGCAGCGACCGATGCGAACACATCGGGGGCACCATTGCCGAGTGCAAGAAGAGTCACAGCCCCAATACTGGGTGACAAATTGAGGTGGGTAACGAGCTTGGTGACCACAACAGAGAATTGATCCTGAGCGGTCTTGACGAGGACATAGAACTGGAAGAGGATAGTGAGGAAGAGAAAGGGCACAGAGGCAAATGGGTTTTGGTGGAAGAGGCAGAAATGGAGAGAGAAGTAGTTGATGAGGCTGTTAGAGTCGCCAGTGCAGTGGAGGAGAGAGAAAGAGCAGCGATTGTGAGGTGGGGTTTGGAGGATGGAGGAGCAGGAGAGGGAAGTAGTGGTGGTGGTGGTGGTGGTGGTGGTGTTGAGGAGGGACCTGTGGGGGATTAATGGGTTTGTGGAGGGGTAGTTTGGGGAGGGTGTGAGGAAGAGGAAGAAGAGGAGAGTGGAGAGAAGGATGAGTGAGATTGTAGGGGTTTTGAGGGAAGAAAGGAAGAGAGAGAAGGCCATGCCATTCCAATCCAAACAAGGTTTAAGCTCTCTCTCTCTTTCTTGGGTGAGATTGGAGAGTGATGAGTATTGGCTGGTGTGAGTCTGTGTCCCTAATATATTTGACTCACTACACACACCTATCATTCCACATATACCCCCAAATGTAAATCATACACACACACCCCCTCTCACACACACACCCGTGACTGACCCCTCACACACACACACACCCGTGACTGACCCCTCACACACACACACACCCATCTGAGAACCCCTCTCACACACACACCCATCTCTCACACTCTCCACCATTCCTCCCTAAAAACTTCATCCATCTATTTGTGTCATTGAAGTATTGGCATTGAAGGGCATTGAAGAGCATTGAAATTTTCACATTTTAGGTTAGTTTACACAGATTAGAATCTTCTCATTCCTATTTTATTTGTAATGTAGGGTTAACTTTTACCATTTTCGAAATTTTCAGTTCACTGTGATTGCCGTGTTTTATTCGGAACTGGTTATTCGAAATTTTTGTTTTTGTTCGACATTAGAGTTCCGAAATTTCTGCTTCTATTCAGCACTATAGTTCCGAAAATATTTACTTGGTTCGGCTTTCAAGTGTCGAAAATAATTTTTTTTTTCGGTTTTCAACTTCCGAATATTAGCTATAATTTCGGACAAAAACTTCCAAACAGAACAGGTATTTTCGGACAACAACTTCCAAACAGAGTAGGTGTTTTCAGACAACAACTTCCGAACACAAATTTTTTTTTTTTTTTTTTCCTTCTAACACTTCATTAAAACACTTAATTATAACACTTAATTATAACACTCACTACACACACTCTCATTAATTTTACACACACTCTCATTATAATTTAAAACACTTATTATTTACACACACACTCTCATTAATTTTGCACACACACTCATTACATACACACTTATAATTTAAAACACTCTCATTAATTTTACACACACTATGTTTATTTACACACACACTCATTACACACTTAGTATTTTTTGCAGATAATATGGATTCTGAATATCAACGTGTCCCACCTACTGCTTCAAATAGACGACGTCGTGAATTGGATGTAAACCATCAATGGGGACGAGGGCGTGGGCGAGGACGAGGTCAAGGTCGTGGTCGAGGTCGTGATCCAGTTTCGGTAGAATATGATATTCCCAGTGCCAGTCAAAGTGGGGGCCGAAGCCAAAGACGAGTTGAAGATTATGATATGCCTGACATTGCTGTGGAGGATATCTCTTTACCTGATTCTTCTCTTGTCCAGGAAGAGTACCTTACTCATGCTTTTCCAGGTGGACCGAATGATCCGTCAATACTGCGGAGTTTCAATAGTCATGTGGCTGCAGCTATTTGGCACGGGGAGGTAAACATTCCTCAGTAAAATTGAAATTCATTTGTATATGAGTTTTTTTTTTTTTT